CCTACAGAATAACACCCTGAACTGTGTCAGATATTAAGATGATTACTCATTATTACTGTTCACCAAAAAGAACAGACATGTTTCACATTTCATTCTGTGGGGTTTGCTATCTACAAAAGAAAGCCATGGAGAGATGGTTCATCATCACCACAACTTTCTCCTGCTGGTCATAGCAGCAACCTCAGCTCCTGCATCTGTAAAAGGGTACATTCAATGTACCCAGTCAAAATACCCTAAGCAAACTATAACCAGATGTGAGGATCCAGGAGGGTGCACAGACAATTCTTAGTTTGATTACACTTAACCAGACCATCAGACATAAAGAGATTGGAAAAAAAAAAGCATATATATGCAGTAGCTACCACAAAGATTCTTGTATTAATTTGATACCTATTTCTGTTTCAATTTCTTCATTGTGCCCAACTATCTCCAAAGTTACAGCCTCTGGTGCATCTAAAATAGAAAGAAGTATTGCTATTGAATACATACTTGCTTACATTCTACCACAGTAAAAATTATACATTTGCTTTATTTCCAAAACTAATCACATACTTTCCATTTAATTCAAAGAACAATATCTGGACTCTGGCATTATTGAGTAGTTCAAAACACAATATGTCCTGTTAATTTTTTTTTTCACATGCATATATATACAGTGCACAATTTAAAAAGGCTGGAAGGGCTCTTCCCCAAAACTCCTAGTAAGTTTGTACACCTTACTTACAGCAGCTAATTTAAAAAAAAAACAAAAAAACAAAACTGTAGTTGTAGGGAAAACATACTAAATAATTTTTCCAAAAGTGGTAATGTGTCATATACATTTATTCTGCTCGGTTTTTTTTAATTTTGACATTATTGTGAAATAGTTCAGCCTACCAGATTTGATCATCTTTTTATATATTTATCAAGTGAGAACTGTAATTGAAAGTCTGCACAGTAAAAAGAACCAAAAAGCATGCTTTAAATTTTAGAAAGCTTTCTTACCTGCTTCTACTACCAGCTTAATTGTGTTTGTGCTGTGGTATATCTCTCCTTCATGACTGATTAAAATTTTACAGGTATATATCCCAGAGTGCTGTACTGTTAAAGTTTTAAAATCCAGTTCCCGTTCTGTTTCATTTGCATAGTTTTTACAGTCCTGCATCAATAAAGACAGATAATAATATTATTCTGTACCAAACTTACATTCGAAACCTTTGAATTTTCAGTCATGGTCACCTAAATTTGAACATTTAACCCACTGGAAGTTGAGAGCACTGCAATTTCAAGTAAATGTCTGAGTATAAAAATATTGTGTCAGGAATTTAAATGCACTCATCTGTTATTTTTCAAAATAATGGCTTGAGTCTGTAGATTTGTGGCCAAAAGTTGTCTAAAATTAGGAGGAGCTTCCAGGTTAAAGCAAAACACCTCAACAATAGGGAAAATGACCATCTCAGAGGGTGAAAAGAGTTGGACTCACATTTGTTTACCCTCTATTTTTTGGGGTTTTTTTTGGGGGGGTTTGCTTTGGGGGGTTTTTTGTGGTTTTTTGGTTTGTATTGTTTGGGGTTTTTTTTAGTTCATAGCACATGTTAAGTGAAAAGTAATCTGAAAACACAATAGCATTTGGTTCTGGTCTGAATTACCTTAGATCAAGAATGGAAATTATCACTGCAGGAAATTGTCCAGGGAATGAACATTTCCTGGATGCATACGCTTACTAACAGGCTCATATACAAAAGGCACGTGTGATCATCCCTGTTTTATCTATCTCAGCTTAGGGTGTGATAAGAAGGCTTTGAAAATTTTCACCCAACCAAGTGCCAAAGGATATTTAGGCACAAGGATGGCTGCTTCATCTGTCTCATACAGGATTAGGCATTAAAATATTAGGCATGGGTATACTCAGCCATGAGAGAGGTCAGTCTGGGGTATATGTTCCTTTACTGAGGAAAATATATCAACCTATGGTCTCCCCCATCATTGGTCCTATCCTCCCAGGCCCCAAAGGAAAAAGCAGCAGGGCTGTGGCTCATTCTGCCAGGCAGAATCCAGATGTCCATGCTAAGGTGACAAAATCCTTTGCTGAAATTGATTTAACATGGGGTGAACAGGGTCTGTTCCTCTAACCAGAACACCTGAGAGGAAGAAGGAGCACTGTTCAAGGCGATGCATAGGGATAGGGTGGAAGAAACCTATTTAGGGTGCTTCATCCAATGGTTGAAGGCAACACCCAGCAGTTACAGGTGCTTATGCAACTACCATCTACGTTCTGACAAAAGCTGGTAGAGAGAAGACCTATGATTTGCCTCAAATGAATAGAACCAGACCTGCTATATATTTTGTCAAAAGTATTCAGAAACAGCAAAATTGAAAAGTTTGCAATTACTTTACAAGCACATGCCAACTGTAAAACAAATATCTTGGCACATTCTTTACTGTCAGGTTAATATCTGTATCAGCAAAGTAGCAGCTAGCTAAACCAGTTGCTGGCTAAATCAGCAAACAGACTTGCAGATCAGATCTTTTATCATTCCAAACTACCAGTTTATTAATAATTTCTGATTACAGGTACATTTTTCTAACAAATTTGAGAGCAGAGAAAAACTTTATCTTGTATATCTGTCTAAAGGTTTTTGCCCTAATAACCTGAGAAATTAAAGCTTTACGAGGTTTGAAGTTGCTTCAAAAAAATTGTTTGTAATTAATTTTTCCTGCAATGATGTTTTGTTTCTATAGCAAATGATTTGAGACATACTGTTTCAGTAATTACCTTGTACCACGTTATGCTGTCATTTTCATTTACAGACAAATCGCTACATTTCAGTGAATGACCAGTTCCAGCATTTTTTATTTCTGTAGTTAAATGATTTTTGTTGAAACAGCTGCTTTTATTTCTTTCAAGTACATTCAAGGTCCACTTTTGAATTGTGAAATTTTGTTTTCCATTGCTATGAAAAAAAAATAAAAGCAAAATCAGTTTTAGGAGCTTTTTAAAGGAATGTAACTTAGTGAGCTACACAACAAAATACAAATAAATTCTCTAATACATCTGTAAGATAAAAAGTACATCTACAGTGAGCTAATTATTTCTAACCCCCCTTATTACTTTTCCACCCCCAAATGTGTTATTTCCCATAATAAAAGAGGTTATACCATTGCTGGATATGTCCAAATACATGACCACCAAGGGAAAAGAAGTTGGAGGACTTTTGGCTTAAGTTTGGCAAAGTTGGCCTAATTGTGGCAGTCAGAGCTTAAGAGAAAGTCGTATGCTGCTGTAAGTTAACGGGTGAGATTTCACAATTAATGCATAAAGTTCTCATTTTTTACTGAACAGGTAAGGTCTGACAAAGCAAAAGCAACAATCACAGAGCACTTCCCTCCAGTGTCAATCATATCTTCATAAATATGTTTGGATCTTTCTGTCTTGAAGAAGAGAATAAGGAATTGTGCCCAGGAGAACTGAAATTAGTCAAGAATCATTTTGATGACAAGGGCTAAGGCGACAAAGCAGCTGAAATGGAGAAGCAAGCCTGACAAATGTGTCAGCTTAAACACCATTCTTGACTGACATGTCTTTTACTGTTACAAGATTCAGAAGAACTACTAGGACATCATTTAGATGATGAATTTAGATCAAGTTTTGGTTAAGGTTTTTTCCCCCTTTTTAAGCTCCCCAAACAGATATATTTATGTATTTTGGTCTCCCTCTTCGCCTTGTAGCCCTTTTTCAGCCTTAATTGGTTCTCCTTGTTCTCCTTACTCACTTGAGACATTTATTACTCATAATTGCAATTGACTATATAAATCCAAACATAGTGGTTTGGTTTCTCAACCAGATAACTATGGTGTCATAAACAGGAAAAACCTTATCAAAACTTTTCCATCAGAGGTGTACTCGAATGGGTATTCACAGTGGGTGGAGTCCTTCTCTCCTATTCTTCAACATCACATTTACACATTTAAATCAGAGCTACCAAGGACAGTCAGCAGTGGGACCACAGTCAGTAGTCACCCTTTTAGAGTGTAGTTTAAGTGACCTATTTTATATGTTTGGCTTAGGACAAGGTAGTCTGTGCTCTAGAAAGGCCTCTCTCTCCATGACAATAAAGGTACCTAAGTAGCTTAGGTGTAGGTAAAGATTAGTTCCAAATAATTCCACCAAGTCTGTATGCTTCTTTATGCACCGCACTAGTATCTGAACACTGCTGGAGAAGCAATTACAGATGTAGACATAAAATATATATGATTTTACTATCTAGGTTCAGCAAATGGAAGAAAAGCATCAATAAGGCCACATGTTCTCCTCAACGCTGTCACTCCACAAAGGCTTTCTTCTGTGATCGTACTTGGTGAAGTCACTTCAACAAATATGAGGACTTCACCTGATGCTTGGCAGGTTATTCTACCTGATGAGGCAAAATCTGGCAAGGAGCAGCTCCCTGGAAGGTGACAAAACCACATCTATGAAAACTAAGATTATTTTGGTTTATATAATTTCTAGCTGTCTGCCATATAAATGATTTTCATGGAAAAAAAAATTATATTGTTTAATCAGCTAGTATCTGCACTGTTCTATCTCTATCCTGGTTTTCACTTGCTGAGATTCTTTAGTGCTAATTTGTGGGAAACAAAACCATTTCTGGCTTAACAGCCCTTCAACTTCCCCCACCAAACCCACCAAGAAGGAACAACAAAAACTAGCTTGACTGAGGAGAGGATACAGAGAAGTGAAAGCTGTGGAGAATATAAACCAAGTTTACTGGATATATAGCCAATTCTAAGTCATCCCTCAGCTATTTCACTGCAACAAGCCCGTGTTATCTCTATATTTCAATCTGCTGCCAGAAACAGACACTCTGCCTTCCAAACTACAATATTAACTCTAAATGTGTGTGTTCCCACTTCTTTGAACTGCTCTAAACACATTGAAAAAGTGAGCAGTATTGGGATCTTAAAATGTATTGTGTTTATCATGGATTTCTGTACTTTCGTTTCTTTCAGGAACCTCTAAGTTCCCTCAGAGCAACCAGATGACCTGGTTTTTTGTATTTTGTTTTTTTCTTTGTTAACCACAAGATATAGGCTATGAAAAAGCATACAAATTAAAAATCCCAACAAAGATGTGTGACAGTTTTTCTGCTTACCATTCCCACTACAAGTGCATATGGAATCCTTTATTTTCAAGAAATATTGCTGAAGATGAACACACCCAGTCTTATGGGTGATGTCTATCAATTCCTGAATTTATATCTTAAGTCTACTATAATAGCAAATACACATGACCACATCAACACATACACATGAACACTTTACCTATCTATGCTATGTCTCAGCAGAACACTTCTGCTTTAACTGGAAAACTTCTGAATCTTCTTTAAGTTAAAAACAAGTGGATAATACACCATAAAAACATTGTTACATCATTTTCACCTCTTGCTTCTTGCATATTGTCAGTTGTGACATATCAGGAAAACAATCCCTGCATTAAATTAGTCAGAAAAATCCGTCAATATGTGTTGTCTTACTTTTCTTGAAAATCTGAAGTATATGTAATTGTCACTTTGCTCACTAAAACTGTCATAACAGTTATAAGCACTCTAAAAATCATTTCCCATATAGGTTACAAATACTTATCTCTAAGTGAAACAGTTGAAAATAAAAAAGACAAATAAAAATATACTTAGAATGTTTAATTTCAAAAAATTTAACCTATTATAAAAGCTCTGAAATTAAACTAATTCCATTCTAATTGTCATTCTTATTAAATCTTAAATCTTAAACCAGTTCAGTAGTCCACAATAACCCACAATTTTTCCCTATTAATAGAGCCTACTAAAAGTCCTCTGTCACTGCAGTAAACTGGTTTTGCAAATAACCTTCTGCATTTACTGAAACGTAGCTGCTTGAATATGCTTGCTAATAGTAAGAACCATCATATGAACTAAGTCCAAGATCCCATTAAAATCCCATGAAAAAAATCCCCTTATGCCTATTGTTCCAGTGGTGAGACCTGTGAAGAGTTCCCATGTGAAGATTGCAAGATTCTGGCATGTGCTTTCATTCTGATCTTAACAGGAAAATCAGTATCTGTATGGGCCTAACAGAAAGAAATTGGAGGGGGGGAGGGAAATTGTTTCAGAGTGGTCAAGTTGTATTATTTTAACTAAGAAAGCTTTTTTTTCCAAAATTAAAGTGCTTTCTTTAAAAACAGTTTTAAGACTACATTTAAAACTACAGTTTTAAAATGTAGTAGCATAATATAGTCTTAGAAAACAAAACCAAAAAGCAGAAAATCAAAACTCTTAATTCCAAATACATGCTTTGATATAATCAAAACCTTTCTTCTGAGTTTCTTGCTTAAGCAAATCAGCGAATCAAGACATTTCACAAAGGACTCAGACATTTTTGTGTTTTCCAGTAAATACTTACTTTAACATACTTCAACCTAATAGATTTACTTAAGGTCTGCTCCTGTCATCTCTTTCTTCTGTGTGTAAGGTTGTTTCCCTCAGTGTTGCAGTTTACATTTTTTTCATATTCATTTTACAGAATTGTTGTAATTTACTGTGGATTTACTGTCATTGCTCCAAGTCCTTAAAATAATCACCAAACTGCAAGTATTGTGAATTAAGGCCGAGGTTATCACAGCTTTCCCCTCTTTTTTGCTTCATTTTAGACTCCTTATGACAACCTCCTCAGTAGCCTGGCAATTCAGGTGTGATCCTCACCTATCGCTCCCTATGCCAAAATAAGTCAGAGCATGCATTTTATACCACTGGTTAGGTGCTGGGAGTAGAGTCAGTTGCTAGACTTAATAGTCTCTTAGCACCATATTTAGTGAAATGATCACATGGACAACTGATCATGGCCATCAATAAAGCCAAAATTTAAAGCCAAATTCAGATTTAGGACCAGTATTATTCAATATATTCAATATATTTATAAATGACCTGGAT